TTTTTTAAATAATAATAATAATAATAATAATAATAATATAATAGAATTATACGTGTATAACATTAGATCAAAATACTTTTATAAATAAGCAAGCAATACAAACTTGTTTCGTGAAAAAAGGATTGTACGAAATGCTCGGGAACATACCCATATTACATTCTATTTATATGTGCAACGATGAAGATGGTTCTATATTGGTTCTAGAACTTGACGCAGATAATATCTGGCTAGTTGATAGCGGATCCTCTCGCTCACCATCTTATCAATATTTTAGGGCCGCAATTCTAAAACGTAAAATATCGAATATTAAAGGGATCATTATCACAAATAGACATGCTGGACGCCTTGATGGCATTAAAAGGTTTCTCAAAAAATTATTTTCACAAAACATAAGCACTGAGGAATCACAAAAGCTTGATTGTCTCGTAATTCTTACCAAGGAATTCAATAATGAACCAATTATTGATATCTTAAAAGATAATGAATTTGAGATTATTAATGATTTAAATGATAAAGAATCGATTTTTGAAAGCAAAAACATAACCATAAAGCATTTTTTCCATGACAAGGGAATACCTTTAGTTTTAAAATGTAAAAAGAATGTTGAGCAAAATACAAGCTTTTTGCAAAGCTGTTATGAGAATGCTGTGAGGTATGTGACAAACAATCATATGGTAACTAATTACGTGATCCCTATTTTAAGTAATTATAGATTAAGTAATTATGTGGAGAATAATTCGCTAGCGAGAATTCTCGGTTTGGGCAGAGGCGAGATTGAAACATCATCTAATTTACTCATAGAAAGAACAATTAATGAACTATCCACAAACTTACAAGGTAACAAATCAAAAGCTCACGTAGACCTATCAAGTATTCCATGTAACCCAAAAGACGGGGATATGGTTCTCACCAGTGATAATGTCGCTTCATGGATACTAGAAGTGGAAACGATAAAGTTAAAAGAATGTCAGCAGATACAATCAAATGAACGACCATTTATTGGTATATTTCAAGTACCAAATTATGGATCAAGAATTAATTCGATGGCCAGAACTCATGTGAGCCCTCCTAAATATGTAAAGCAACAATTTGTTCTGATGATGATGATACTATATTACGGAGGACTATTTGATTTTAAAGATTTTGATGATAAAACTACCGTTGAAGCTGATTTTGAAATTATGTGCGACTTTTCTAATTTTGAAATGTTTGAAGAAGCGGCCAAATTGAAATGATATATTCAAACTCCTATAAATTTAGTTACCATTAAATATTTTTTAAAGTGTATTGCAAAGTTGATTGAATATTTTATTTTTGCTATTAGTTTGGTAACAGAAAAACTAAAAAAAACTTTTTGGAGAGCAATCTGAAGAAGCAGAAATTAGAAAAGAAAAAGACGAAATGGTTAAAATTGATGGAAGGATTAAGAAGGAGGTAGAAAGGTTTTTATCGATGGAAGATTTTCATTATAGCGTGATTTTTGAGAAAGAACCAAGAGAAACGAGTATTTTTATTGGAAATAAAGTAATAGAAAGTGATATAACGGATTCTAAAAGATCATATGCATTAAAGGATGATTTATTAATGGAATGCAAAGAAGTTTTAGTCAAAATAAACGCAATATTTAACCATGATAACCAAGACTATTCAGGGTCGCAATTAAAAGAAGAAAAAATCGAACATAAACCTCAATTGTACCCTCCAATCAAGTTAAAATCTAAATATATTGGGCACGATAAGATTCTCACCACTGAAATAGTTTCAGAAGATGAGGATACTCAACAATACTATTGTGAATTAATCTATATTAGTGATAATAACAATAGTAGTGATTTTGTCGATAATAATGTGGCTTATCATGAAATTATTGACGTGGAAACTTTAAAAAGTACATTATGGGAAATTAATACAGAAGAAAAATCAATACCTGGTCCGGGCGGCGAATATAAAGTACGCGTTTCAGCAAGGGCGGATAACTGTAAAAATAGTGAATTTAAGTATACAGATGAAATAATATTTCGAATGACTCCACCTCTATCTGTAGAATTTACACACTTTTACGATTATAATATTGATTATCTTGAAATTTTAGTAAAAGATACAACAAATCAACCACAGCCATCGCTCGGATACACTTATCAAGTTATAAATAGTGATGATAATGTTATTTACACTTCATCAACTAACGATATTCCAAATTTAAACTTAGATATAATAAGAAATAGATCAGAAAATTTTGCATTAAAGAATTTTATTCGTGTGAAGGGTATTGCAATAGATGAATCCAATTGGATGGACTCAAGTTATACAACTAGCAAATCCTTTAAATTTTTCTCTCAAGTAAATAATATCAAAGGATCATATGATATAGATAATAACGTGTTGAAAATTTCATGGGATCCAGTTGAAAATGCTAAAAAATATGAAGTTACTTTATATTGTGATGAAAGAAGGTTAGCAACAGACCTTACCTCAAAAACTCTTACCAGTTTTGATATCTGGAAGTTTGAAGAAAAAATCGAATCATATTCGAGATATTCTTACACTCCCTACATATCTTATACTTTTGCGATTCAAGCAAAAAATAAACTTATAGAAGAACGAATAGACTTTTTTGATGGACCAGTAACTGATGCTGAAAAAGATTTCAAACAACTTCCAAAACCTACTAACATTATTATGAAAAAGAAATCAGATAGACTTAATGTCTCCTATAAACCGATAACATTTTCAGAAACATCAAATATTTTCAAAGGATACAAGGTTAAATTATATAAAGTTCGACCAAAGAATGAATATTCAGTAGCTGAACTATCAACAAATAATCATTTAGTAGCTGAATCACCTTTAATTGAGTCTAGCTATTATGACTTTATTATTAAAGATATTAAATTTGAAGAAAATAGGAATTACCAAGTTGAAGTGGAAGCTGAAGTGTATGCAGTTGTAAAAAATGATCAAGCGATAAATAGTTTTCCAGAAAAATCAACTAGAACTATAAAATTTTTACCATCACCAAAGGATTTGCAAATATCGGCTAAAGCCAATGAATCTCACGAGCCAACGTTTGTAGTTTCTTGCGCTTTTAATTCAGAAATCCCAAAGTATGTATTGGGTGTTATAAATACAAAGACAGAAAAAACCGTTCAAAGCACAATTGAAGACTGTTCTCCTTCAAGAAGAGTTGAACAAAAATTCCATAATAATTCTGATTTACTTGACTCATCGGACTCATCAGAAATCGTCAAATTTCGTGCTTTTACACAAGCAATTGGCGATGATGATCAAATTGATAGCGATATTTTAATGTCAGTTTCCGAAATTATTCAATGCGCAGCACCTAAAAATGTCACATACGCGTATAATAATAATCTATTTTTTGGTCATGAGTTTAAAGTAATGTCTGAAGTGCCTGAAGGCTCTAAAGGTTATTACGAGATTCAAATCATTAAACTCCTCAATAATTATAATGATTATATTATTATTGAAAAAAAGGAAACCAAAGAAAAGGAAGATATAATTATTATTAAAAGATTGGACAAAGGCATATATAAAGTACGTGTACGACAAATTCCGTATGAACCTGATTGGTCAATTTCCAGCAATTGGAAAGTGTCTGAAATAGCAACTATTATATTATAGTATTATTATGTTATTTGTTCAATGTTCTTTCTTCTCGATAATCTTATTAATGATAATGAATCTAAGTTCAGCCATTGCTTGGAAAATCTTCGATTACTGATAATCTTTTGATGATGTATTATAATACCTTGAATACAATGTTGGGAAATTATGAAAGTGGTTACTGAAAAACTGACTACAAGTTATTGATTTTTATTGCTCTTTCAGATAAAAACATAGATTTTAATTTGAATTACTCTAATTCAATCAATTAATAGACAATAAATGTTTACATTCCTTTCAGTGTATAATTAGAGTATATAGTAAAGTAGTACTGTACGATAACACAGATTTGGACAGACTTTCGAAAAAAAATATACACATTCTTTTATACTCAGACATACATACGTATGATGCATAAAAAAATGTACAAGTTGTACTCATATACGTATGATGCATAAAAAAAATACATGCTTGTATAAAATATATAATCATTTCGAAAGCATATTTTATTTGATGCTCATAATTAATTGATTAATTAAAATCATATATAAAATACAGCAAGCTTTAACTTTAGCACGTCTCTCTTTTTTAAATAATTGTTTATCTCTTTGATAAATAAAATTGAAATATGGATTTTGAATTATCTGATGTTGAAGAACATCAATTTGATTTAGTAGACCCTGAATATGAACCGGAGGTATATATTGTAATATTGTTAATAAAATTTTTTGAATTATTACTGATCATATTCAAAATTTAAATTATTGTTAATAAAAAATTTTTTGAACTATTTTATTGATCATATTGTAATTTAAATTATTATAAGAAATTATCTGAATCTGAATCATTAAGCGAAGAATCAATTAATGATAACAGTGATGAGGAAATTTCAGAAAGCACATGTTACACATCTTGTTTTCTTGTAAAAACTGTAATTCATTCCAATGTACCTATTGAGTATCCATCAACTTCACAAGATGGCATAGATACTATATTTCATATTGCATATTGGTTAGATTCGAATTATGCATAGAAAAATTTAATATTATATAACGTTTTTAATAGGGATGTTATCCTGCTCCAACCGGTTGGCTTGTGCTTAAAACCCGTTTGAACTCTGTTCGGAGCATATTTATATAAAAACCGATTCTTGAACTCAGTTTATATAAATGTTCTAATAATTATGCTTGCATGAACAGTTTAATTAAACCTGCTATCGCTATTAATTAAATTGATTTTTGTTCGTTATTAAAAGTCTAAAGTTTATTACAGATTAATATTGCTCACCTGATCTATTTCAAACTCGTTTGGAGCATAATTTGTTAATAAAAATCCTGTGACCGCAAAAACTCGAGTTCCATCGGGTTCGGTTCCAAACAGGGTCGAACTGAGTTTCGCAAGCAGGATAACATCCCTAGTTTTTAAGTTTAATTTAAAATAAATACATATTAATTAATTACCTAATTTAGATTCAATGTTCTATGGGCGGTGGTGGAGTTCATCAAATCAAAAATTTACCATACTTTGGTAATATTCAAGTAAATAAAGAAGAGCGCTATTGTATGCGAATTAAAGTTTGCCAATTTACTGATCTAAATATTGAGCACAATGAAGTTGATATGGAATCTTCATTATAGAAAAAGATAACTAATAATCAAATGTTGAAGCTAGAAAAATGAATTTTTTTTTTTTTTTTTTTTTAACAATTCGGCAGTCATGTCTTTACTTTTTTAGGCTTTGTAATAATCATCTAGACTATTAAAATTTTAGAGAGACTTATTGGTGAGTGATAAACTCTAAACATGTCAGCAGATAGTGTATGAGAACTATCTCTAAACGACATGTGCTGCGCCCGAGGGCCACACAACTATATCTAAATTACAAGTAAAAACTAACTCAGTTGCTCAATAAGTACCTATATTCGACCTGCTATAGTAGGATTCTCCTCTTTCTGGACCCCTCCTGCAATTGGATATGATCCGGCTCTTAACAGATAGTACCTACCGCCTGTCATAACCACCTCTCCCTTCTTTCAGATTTCTTTCACCTAAGCCCGACAACAAAATTAAAACCCTTATTTATATATAAAAGTAAAAAAAATAAAGTCATGTTTATGAGAGATATAAACATTTTAGAAAAAAACACATCATGGTGAGAAAAAAAAAATTTTCAACAAATTCTAAAATAGTCTAACATAAATGAACCAAGATGAAAAAAGCAAAAAAAAGAAAGGTAGCCATGACATAATATTATAGCCTGTGCCAGATAAAAGGATAAAAATTATATAATAATTGCAACTAATTAATATATCTCAATTGTAAAATGTCACCTTATCGTAGAGGACTCGTTCTGGGCACTAACAAAACTCGAGTATTTCCTAAATGGGGGTACTGATCTCTTTTTCATATTGTAGTACTATATTGATAAACAAAACAAACATGTGGTTGCGTTCTACTAAGTACATCTGAATTAGAAAGGTGTAAACAATACTGATCTTTTGTAGGGGGTGAGCCCAAATGCCCACTTTTTTTCAAAAATTTTGGAGAGAATAGCAAAAGCAAGAGGGAGGTAAAAAGACCAAGAGGAAACACCAAAGAAATGTCTATTTAAACTTGTACAGTCTAAGTCTTTTCAGTGAATAATAAACTCTGAGCTTGTCAGCAGGTAGTGTATGAGAACTACCTCTAAATAACAAGTTCTGTGCCTATAATAGGTCCCTTTTCCCATGTCTTATGTTAAAGCTCCTTTTGAACCAAGCCATGATATTAGTTATTCAAGAAAATATCTCCAAATTTTCAAGAAATGTTGTTAAAAAACTCATTTGTTGTTCTCCTTCTATTCTATTCTTTTGTATTATGAATTACTTCATCGACAAAAGGCCTCAACTTCTCATGAGCACCTTCTTCCCAGAATTTTGAAACCAAGGGCACCAACTTTTGCCAGTTATCTTGTTTCCTAACACTTCTGGTTTGCATGCCAAATGTGTAAAGGAGTCCCTCATAGAAGCAAGTTAACCTTTATATAAACCATTCTATAAGCATTCTTCTCCTCTTCAACAAAATTTTTGTTTTTGATCAGTGGGAAATTTTGGTCCAGATAATCATCGGAAAGAGTTGTATAATTTAATCTAAGCTAGAAAAATGAATATTATTAATTATTTATATTATTTTTTAATAATAAATTAAATATTAAATTTTATTTTATTTATAGAAAATATTTAGCAATTAAGAATAATTCTCATAAATTTAAAAATAACAATGGAACTATGTGTTTAGGAAAATCAATTTAATGCAAATCATGTATTACTCAAAATATATATCAATAGTTTATTGGATATTCAATATATAAACTTGGAGATAAATGACATTGTTATGTTAAACTTGATCCTGAAGAAATTGATATTATACTTTTTCAAGATTTTTTCTTGAACAAGCTGAGATATTTAATATATTCATTTATATAATTTAATAAGTTAATAAGTTAATAATTTAATAACTTAATTTTAATTATTTTAGATACAAAAAAATTTACATTATCGTTCAACACTATTATATAGATCTTCTAAAAGAAAAAAATGTGGTAATAATTTTATTTTTAAATTAATTATTATATTAAATTATTTTAAATTTATTTAATAAATTATAATTTATTTAGATTATATCCATAATTTACCTAATAGAAAATTAATTGACAGTGCACTCTTCCCAATGATTACTCAAACCAATTTTCATAATTAAAGAAAAATAAAAAGCTCTGTTGAAGAATTGAGTAGACTACAGTAATAGTTTTTAGAAAAGAGATCAACTAGTACTGGGACTTCTTGCTATATTCAATATATAAGCCAAAAGTCTAGTTAAAAGAAAAGACAGGTGGCACTCTTGGCAAGCACTATAAATTCTGGTAAACAAAGACTTCATTGACAAAGATCTGTTGACTATAGTTCTAAGAAGATTTTAGTAGTAGTTTTTGAGATTATATATTTTTTTTAAGCCATATTCTTTTTACCTAGTCAAGTAGTTCTTTTTTATTCTTTCTCATTCTCCCATCAGTCTTTCAAAAAAATTTAAATAAAAAGTGGAAATTTGACTTACCTCTTCAAAGATCAGCATTGTTTACTTCCCAAATTTAATAAATTAGCAAAATACAACTATATGTTTATTTATAGATAAATATGGCGCTACTTTATAAAACTTGACCTGGGAACTCTAATTACAAATTAGAATAGGTACAAAGCTATCTGGAGTTGGTAGAAAAGTTGGAAAATAAATTTAATATTAGGGTGAAGCTTTATAGTAGAGATATACAAATATTGCATTTGTTATATAGTTTTATTAGCCATGTACAGGTTATAAAGATGCCTTTAGGGTTTTAGATTTCTTTTATATTTTTTCTTTTTTGCAATCAGTGTTTCTTTTTTCTTTTCTGTTTTTTCTTTTTCTGGTTATTTTTACACATTTTCTTTAAAAAAATTTCACCCTTTTGTCTTGTGCTTCTTGAGAAGAAGAAAGAATTAGAAGGAAAAAGAGATCCTAATGTGGTATACAACAACCTGTCAAATGATTGAGGAGGCATCATTTTGATAATCAAAATTTGAAGTAAGTTTTGGATCCCAAGTTAGAGTATTCAACCTGGTAAGTTTTTATTGAGTTAGAGCTACAAGTTGTAAGGATTTAGTATATTTGTATATAAATTATATAACAGTTCACATGAATAAAGGCAGAATCGCTTAAAAAAAAAAAAAATTAATCAAGGTGAAATTATTCAAAAAACTTGTTTAATAAAATTTTACAAATTTACTCCTCAAGATCTTACCACTTGCCTATTTATTGCATTAGTATGCATTGCAATACACAATCATCCTTCTTCTCTACTAAAAAAATTTTTAACAAATATAAAAATAAATTTGCAAACTTTAATTAATCAAGCTATTAATAACAATGATATAATTACTTCAAGAAGCCTCCAATTGAGTATAACTAGTTTATATTTATTTAAATTAATTAGCTTATTTATTTATTATATAAATAATTTAATTTTGTTTATTTTTATAGATAGTTTAATAAAAGCATATTTCAAATCTGAAAATTTATTTAATATTTATCAATCACTAAATAATGTAAATAAATTATGAATTTTAGTTGCAAAAGCATATAAGAATTTACATCCATATAGTCAAGACATTATA